AGTCTTTTTAAGAATTTTGGTGTCACTACATGCTAAAAAAGCTAATATCCTTCGAAAACATTAAAAATTGCATTAAGATGTTTAAAATATATAAAAACAAGTTAGAGTGCTATATTGGGCTTAGCCGAATCTTAAATACCCTCCACCAGCTACTTTTATATTAATACTTTTCTAATTGATCAAATATTTGTAGAAGTCTTAAATAGAAAAAATCCCAAGATTTAAACAGCTTAAATCTATTACAATTCCAACATTTATTGAACATTACAAACGCCATTTTCTTTATATGTATTTTTATAGAGCTTAGCGATATTTAGTAATTTGCATGTATGCGTGTGTGAAGGATTTAAGGATTTTCCAAATACATATATATATAATTTTGTTCTACACAAATTGATAATGCTAATTATAACTAGTTAAATACGGTTAAAGCGCTTTTAGGGGCAGGACCTAGTATGGGAGATATGACAATTATAGACCGATCGTAAAATATTCTTTAAACTAAATTTCTGTACATAAAAGCTATATTTCAGTCAAATTTTGTATCCATTTCGTAATTTAGTAATAAGTAATGTATGTTTATGTGATTTTCTGAAGGGAACCTTGTATGGGACCGACCGCACCCGTGCTATGAACCGATCGTGAAAATTCTTGAAATAGAATTTTTGTATACAAAACTAATATTTGTGCCAAATTTTGTATCAATAGCTTTATTTGGTAATGAGTAATGTGCGTTTAAGAGATTTTCGTAAAAGGACCTTGTATGTGAGCTATGACCAATTCTATATATAAAGACAAAGTTTAAAAATTCTGTATCTATATCATTATTTTGTAATGAATAGTGATTTTCATTTTCATTTAAGTGATTTTCTGGAGAGCTATGACCAAATATGGACAGATCGTAAAACAATTTTATAGTTTAATTCATATATAAGAGCAATATTTTTGCTAAATGTATGGATATCAATATTTGGTAATGAGTTATGTGCGTTTAAGTGATTCGGGAGGGAACCTTGTATGGGGGCTATGACCAAGGATAGACAGATCGTGAACAAATTTTGAAATAAAATGTATGTGTACAAAAATAGTATTTATGCCAAATATTTTATGGGTAACACTATTTGGTAATGAGCTATGTGCCTTTTAGTGTTCTTCTGAAAGGGACCTTGTATGGGAGCTATGATCAATTATGGACCGATAGGAAAACAATTTCACAGTAATATTTCTGTACATATAAGCAATACTTGTATGTGGATATCTTAATTTAGTAATGAGTTATGCGCGTTTAAGTGATTTTCGGGAGGGGATCTTGTATGGAAGCTATGACCAATTATGGACCGATCCAAAAAAAAACTTTCTTAGTAAAATTTCTGTATATAAGAGCAATACTTGTACCAAATTTTATATGGATATCTTCATTTACTAATGAGTTGTGTGGTTTTAAGTGATTTTCGGGAGGGGACCTTGTATGGGAGCTATGACCAATTATGGACCGATCAAGAAAAACTTTCGTAGTAATATTTCTGTATATAAGAGCAATACTTGTACCAAATTTTATATGGATATCTTCATTTACTAATGAGTTATGTGGTTTTAAGTGATTTTCGGGAGGGGACCTTGTATGGGAGCTATGACCAATTATGGACCTATCGGAAAAAAATTTCATAGTAATATTTCTGTATATAAGAGCAATACTTGTACTAAATTTTATATGGATATCTTAATTTAGTAATGAGTTATGCGCGTTTAAGTCATTTTCGGGAGGGGACCTTGTATGGGAGCTATGACCAATTATGGACCGATCGGAAAAAACATTCATAACAATATTTCTGTATATGAGAGCAATACTTGTACCAAATTTTATATGGATATCTTAATTTAGTAATGAAATTTGTGCGTTTAAGTGATTTTCGGGAGGGGACCTTGTATGGGAGCTATGTCCAATTATGGACCGATCCAAAAAAGTTTTTCTCTGGATCAATTCTGTTGACACAAGATTTTAATTTGTAAAATTTTGTGAAGATATCGATATTGTGACGGAAGTTATTAACAAAAAACTCATTTTCCGGGAATATGTACTTTTGTATGGGAGATATATGAAATTGTGGACCGATTCTTACAATTTTCAGCAAGGATCAAGATCTTATACAGAAACGAATGTGTGGTGATTTTCATGGAAGTACCTTGCATTGTTTTCGAGAAAATTACATCAAAATGTGTAAAAAATGCTTATTTTTTTCGAGGTTGTTTTAAATTTTGATTCATAACTTTTCCCGGTGTGAACCGATTTTGCTCATTTTCAATACCAAACTGCTTAATAATAATGAATATTTTCGGTGAATTTGGTTGATTTATTTTGCTTCGTTTTAACGTGAGCGTGTTTTATACAGACAGACGGACATAGCTAAATCGACTCAGAATTTCATAAGGACCAAGAATATATATACTTTGTTGGGTCTCAGATGAATATTTCTCAGTGTTACAAACGGAATGACAAACTTATATATACCCACTATCACCACTGATGGTGGTGGAGGGTATAACAAGTAAAAGTGTTATATTCGGCTATGCCAATACTTATACACGCTCCTTCAAAGCATGTTTTTCCAAAATTTACTAATTTATTAGATTTATTTTAAATTAAAATTTTATTATCGTGTATCTGTAGTAATATGCACATTAGTTTGACTTCGGAATACGATCTTAATGGTTTGGGTCACGGACCAATGATGTTTTAAAACAAATGCTATATCATGCTGTATCATGATAATTGAGAATAAATTTATTATGGAATGTGAATATAAAGAATTTTATGAAAAAACTTATTTAGGTCGATAATCAAAATTCCGAGAGAACCTCTGAAAATTTCATAAGAAAATTTTTTTCATGCTTTGATAAATAAGCAACAACAACACTGTATTTTGCTTTTGTTTTTTTTTAGTGTTTTGTTTGGTATGTTTGGATGTATGTTGGTTTCATTGCGATATGTATTTCGTTTTTTGTATATTTTGTTTAGTGTGTTGGTTTCATTGCGTTGTGAATTTTGTTTTGGTTTTTTTGGGTATTTTGTTTCGTATGTTGCGATGTGTATTTTTTTTTTTGAGTATTATATTTCGTTTGACGTTGTTGTTGTTTTTTGTTTTGATATTGGTAAAGTAATGATAGAGTTGGGAAATTAAATAAATTGAAATTTTATAAAATTAATATTTTTTAAATACACTACGGTGAAGGGTATATAAGATTCGGCAAAGGCTAATATAGACGTATTACTTGTTACTTTAAATATTGGCATCAAAAGTATTTGATGCTATTAAACTTGAATATAAATATTATTAGTTATATACTATATTTAAAACAATTCACTTCTTAGTTAAAATTTTACGACAAACATATGGGCAATTCTATACGATAGTATTTGACATTTGTACACCTTCAGAATGGTAATCAATATTTTTTAAATAAAAAACTTTTTAAGCTAATTTTATAATGGTGATACATATGTACATATTTGAATATCGTACATGACAATCGTGTGTGACAGAAAGATTTGGAGGAGGATTTTATTTTTATATAAAAGTTAGTTATGATGAATTTTATCGCGTTACTAATGTATTACTCATTTATGTACGATTAAGGCATTTTTAAAGGAGTATTTGATTTGGGAATAGGGTCAATTGAGGGCCGATCATTACAAAAACCGGAAACGTTATATACATATATGTATATATACATATTTATAAAAAACTGTGTTGTGCCGATTTCTGAAAAGATACTTGTATATTTGTCCATTTTTTATAGCTCATCCTTGGGCCGAAAAACAAGGCCTTTAGCTTGCGCACAAGGTTTACATGGACAGCCAGCCGGACGGAAGGACGGATATGTTTAATCGGCTAAGAAAGTGATTCTTTTTAAAGGGATAGTTTTATAATTAACAGAACTATGTGCTGAACAGTTACATATATATGCGGGTCCGTTTGTATGGAGGCTAGGTACATATAATAATGGACCGATTTAAAAAATTAACAGCTTTGATCTTTGGTGTAACAAAAGATCATAATCCAATTTTTTTTGAATCATCTTCAAAAATGCAACAGTTATAAGGGTTTTATTTTTTCAGACGTGGTTCACCTTTTCATGGAGTTTCCATATACAAGGTTTTCGTGCGAATTCCTTACAATTTCACAGAACATCTAGAAACGAAACTTTTGTAGTTCCTAAAAAAAATAACTTTTAAACTTCTTTAACTCTAACGTATACGTATTTTGAGTTCACAGCTACACTAAATGGTTATTTCCAAAGAAAAATAAGTTACTTTTTAGAATTTGATGTTACTACATGCTAAAAAGGATACTATCCTGCGATATCTTTCGAAAACACTCTTTTCACCAATATACGTCAAAATAAAGTGTGTGGTGAAGTAATATCTATAAAAAGTCCAGCGGTTTAGTTTTGTACGTGAAAGGGTTAATTATAAAAAGTGCAAAATATAAAAATAAATGCCAAAAATGCACTTTTAATGCTAAAATATCTAGCAAAATATGAAATAGTGCTAAAAAGCATGTAGCACTTTTTTCTAAAAAAAAGTGCAGCCGACGAAAAAAAACTAATTTTCAGCTCTATCATTTTGGTCATACAGGGTTTTATTCAAATGAATGTAACTTTTCACCTATTGGTCCTAGCAAAAATTGTCCAAAGGAGTTCAGCTATTTCTTCATTGTTTCAAAAAAAAAAAAATAAATTGCCCATATATAGATTTTATCGCATTTGATGCGGGAACTGTTTTCACGATCGCGAAAAAATCATATCATATTCCTTAACATCTGTTCACGCCCTACAAGCTCATGCTGTGGCATTTTTGATATTCCCAAAAATTGCAAAAAGTTGTAACCGTACTGTACATATGTATATCGTTAGAAAGACCTCAGGCCTTACTAAGAATTTAACCATATTGTGTATAATTAATTTAATCATAGTTATAATATTACTCTACTTTATTGCAGCTCAAAATGGAATCCCAATCTATATACCCTCATTCTGCTACATTATTTGCAGCAATATGTGCTTGTTTATTTATTGTTGTTGGAATTTTCGGTATGTATTTCTTTACTTTTTTAAAATATGTATATATATTTTCGGCTATGGCGAATATTAAATAATTAAAAATGAAAGGATATGAATATTAAACATCCTTCCTCTAACGTAGTTTTTTATAAAGACGTTGAATATTTATAGAAATTAACATATAATAAATTTTGAAGGCATGGTTTCCGTAATGTCATTTGTACAGCATTTAATTTTGTTCGTTGAAAATCATGCATTTTTCACATAAAAATTAACCGGTTCATTACGCTATGCAAAAAATTGGGTCATCGAATCTTTCCCGAATGAGACCAACGGCAAATGAAAGTACACAATAAATAGACCAAATTTGCCAAAGGGCTTTAATACGTTAGCTCGTAATCTTAAATTATAGGTATTTCAAACTTAGCATTTTTTAGGAAAATTTCTTTAGAGTAATTTGAAAAAATTTTGAACATAACCTTTCTGATTTTGATGAAATTCGGTACACATATTCTTTTCATACATACAAAATTTAAAGTTCTCAAAAATTTACAAATTCGTAATGATTTTGATTTATCGTGGTTTAAAAATTCACATTTTTTAAGAGAGTTTCTAAAAAGCAATTAAATTGATATCGCACAGTGGTATAGAAAAACAAATAGAGGGAAATAATTCTGTAACTTCTTACGGTAGTCCGATTTGAATGGAATTTTACATGTAGAGAGAGGAGGTGTTGTCGAGTTCAAGTTCAGAACTTGGACCTCATGGGCCTACCCCCAAAGTAAGACACTTCGACACCTCCTTAGTTTTACATGTGAAAAGGACAAGGTACACGTTTTATATATCAAGGGATTGGAACAGAGGGCGAAGTCGGCCGGTTTCGAGTCGTCGCTTAGTCGCCGCCGAACCACGCGGCTTAAGTCCACTCAAATTTTTTAATGTTTTTCTTTACTTATTAACAAGGCTATAGACTGTAAGACCAATTATTTTTGATTCTGTATCCCTAATATGGCTATATCATCCGATTTCTTCATTAACATTCAAGAGTGTGTAAATAAGAAAGTATACTAAATCTAGAAACTTTTTATACCCTCCACCATCATCAGTGGTGATAGAGGGTATATATTAGTTTGTCGTTCCGTGTGTAACACCAAGAAATATTCATCTAAGACCTAACAAAGTATATATATTCTGGGTCCTTATCAAATTCTGAGTCGATTTAGCTATGACCGTCTGTCCATCTGTGTAAAACACGCTCACATTAAAACTAAGCAAAGGAAATCAACCAAATTCACCCAACATATTTATTATTATCCTAAGCAGTTTGGTATTGAAAATCAGCAAAATCGGTTCACAACGTAAAAGTTATGAGTAAAAATTTCAGACTACCTCGAAAAAAATTACGTTTTTTTTCAACATTCTTTTGAAGTTTTCTCAGAAACTACCAAAGATATTTCGATGAGTTTTGTCACACATTATTTTTTTATGCCTGTGATCAATTATCTTCAAGATCTTTACAATCGATCGAATATATCCCATAGCTCCCATACAAAGGTATATATTCCCGGAAATTAGTTTATCGTTAATAACTCCCTCAAATATATCGGTATCAACACAAAATTTTGTACATGCAAATATAATATGAACAGAAATCATACAGTCAACGTAGATCTCAGTCGGTCCACAATTGGTCATAGCTCCCATATAAGGTCCACTTCCGAAAATCACCTAAAAGTACATATTTCATTGATGAATATAGCTATTGTGATAAAATTCGAGTTAAATATGTTTTGTGTACATACAAATCAATCTACCAAATTTTTACGGATCGGTCCATTATTGGTCATAGCTCCCATATAAGGCCCACTTCCGAAAATCATTTAAAAGCTCATATTTCATTGTCAAATAAAGCTATCTTGAAAAATTCGACACAAATATGTTTAGTCTAAATATGAATCACTCTACGAAATTTTTTCCGGATAGGCCCATAATTGGTCATAGTTTCCATATAAGGCCCACTTCCGAAAATCACTTAAATGCATATATTTCATTGAATAATAAAGCTCAACACAAGTATGTGTTGTATACATACAAATCATTCTACAAATTTTTTTACGGATCGGTCCATTATTCGTCATAGCTCCCATATAAGGCCCACTTCCGAAAATCACTTAAAAACACATATTTCATTGTCAACTAAAGCTATCGTGATAAAATTCGACAAAAATATGTTTTGTGTACATTCAAATCATTCTACAAAATTTTTTACGGATCGGTCCATTATTGGTCATAGCTCCCATATAAAGCCCACTTCCGAAAATCACTTAAAAGCACATTGTCAAATAAAGCTATCTTGATAAAATTCGACACAAATATGTTTTGTCTTTATATGAGTCACTCTACGAATTTTTTTCCGGATATGCTCATAATTGGTCATAACTCCCATATAAAGTCCACTTCCGAAAATCACTTAAACGCATATATTTCATTAAATTCTAAAAATATAAGGATAAAATTCGACTTGAATATATTTTGTGTGTATATAAAATCATTCTACCACTTTTTTCCCGGATTGGTCCATTATTGGTCATAGCTCCCATATAAGTCCCACTTCCGAAAATCACTTAAACGCACATATTTAATTGTTAAATAAAGTTATGTAGATAAAATTCGGCACAAATATGTTTTATCTTTATATGAATCACTCTTCCAAAATTTTCCGGATTGGTCCATATATGGTAATAGCTGCTATATAAGGTCCACTTAAAAAAATCACTTAAGCGCACATATTTCATTATCAAATAAAGATATCTTGATAAAATTCGACAAAAATATGTTTTGTGTAAGGTTATAGCTTGTATACATATAAAGCACTTCCGAAAATCACATAAACGCACATATTTCATTAATTAGTAAATCTATTATAGTAAAATTCGAATTGAATTTTTTTTGGCATATAAATCATTATACGAAATTTTTTCCTTATCGGTCGATAATTGGTCACAATTCCCATATAAGGACCATTTCCGAAAATTACTCAAATGCACATTGACAATCAAAGCTATCGGGATAAAATTCGACATAAATGTGTATTTTGTATATATAAATCATACTACGGAATTAATATACATTTTTCTCGACCTTATTAAAATTAGTTTGACTTATGCATTAATGTTAGTACCCTCAATACGGAAACAAAAATTTTGCCAAGTTATCTGAAAATTAGATATTTAAATGAGAAGGTGGTCTCCCACCAAATATATCCACTAAGACGGTATTTTTGGAAATTCGAATGTTTAGGGATAAAGACGGGTAAATTCGGTAACCTCATATCCCCTAAACTAGAAAAGATGCAAAACAGTTTAAAGCTTATCGTCGTTCATTTAAAAAATAAGCGGAGAGGTGTCCGGTACTTTTATCGAAATCGGCCCGTATGGGAAATAAACGGGTAAAAACTGTTTTTTGGTGTTTTTTTGCACCCCATGTATTTTTTAAACCAGTGAACATTCAAAAAATATTTTTAACTCCTTTATAACTTAACGAAAAAATAAAAATATGAATTCAGGATTTTTAGGATATTAAGACGTTTAAGGAAACACATTGTTTCCTATGTACCGATTTGTATTAACATGTGAATGGATGGGATCTCACTACGATATTGCAACTTTTTGTAATAAACTGTTTATTACTTCAATGGGGAGAAAAAAGTAGCAAAAGGGGGAAAACGGGAAATTTGATTTTATTCAAACTCACTGACTCAATTTTGATAAAATTGGAAAAATTGATAATTTTAGTAACACTAAATATACCAATAGGATGTTACTTGGAACCAGTGTTGCCAAAACCTAATTGGGAAAAAGTGCTAGATTAAAAAAAAATGCTAGAAAGTGCTAAAAATAAACAAAAAATGCTAAAAAAATAAAACAATTCGTTGTCGCAATCTCAATTTTATGCACACCCGTTGTCTAAAAGTTAACAAACGTGGTAAGCTCAAAATGCGTTGTAAATAGTGAGCTTACCACTTTTGTTAACATGTAGACAACATTTAGATTGCGACAACGAATTGTTGCAATGTTGACAAAGTTGCGTGGTCTACCTTTACATGTTGTTGTTGTATGTATGTATATACTTGACAATGGATGTTATTGAAAAATTTAATCATTGATTAAAGAACTAGTCCTAGAACCATTCCATTAAACGAGTGTGATTTTGATATTTTTCATCAAAATTCTTAAGAAGACACAAATTAAAACCTTTGTAAAAAATATTACAATCCCTAAAATTTTTTGAAAATTCCTAAAAAGTAATTTTTTTTAATTTTTATATTTTTAATTTTTATACCCACCATTAAAAAAGACCCATAAAAGTATACATATTCTGGATCCTTATTAAATTTTAAGACTAAAAGAAGCAGCTATAGCGATGAACTTCGACATAAACATATTTTATAGGAACCTAAATATATTTGTTTAATATTGTAAGAATCGATCCATAATTGACCCTAAAATTTCTCTGCCAAATTTTAGGAGGATCAGTCCATAATTGATCCTATCGATATACATACATATGCATGAGGTAAAATTCTACATATATGTAATAAATGAGAAAATTGTTTTGATAATAACAAAAGCATCGATCCATAAATATCAAAGTTTATTTATAAGGAAGCATTCCTTTTCGGCACTGATTTGATGGTGGGTATACAAGATTCAGCACAGCCGAATATAATACTCTTACTTGTTTTAAATATATTTTGGTCCTGTGACTCGAATTTCCCTTTAGTACCTATTATTGTTGGTAATAGATTTTTGAATAATTTTTTTTGCTCTGAAGAAATTTGTTTACAATATTTTAATTAACGTATGGTGAATAAAATATGGACACCTGTTCACTTGTTGTTAATAAAATAACAAGGACACTAATAAAAAAATGACTTACGGTGAGCATAAATGCACTATCTACTTATTTAATAAAACCGAAATTAGTTTCGAAAATGACACTAAACGAACTGAACTATCGAAAATGAAATG